ATAAGAGCGCTCGTTGCAGAATAGCTTCCGTGTGTATGTTTGCTTGGTTTTTTGGCCTCCGTTGCACATTTGTTGTTTTTTCCTAGAATCTGTGAGGCCCATCAGTGTTGGACACCGTGTCCTCCCGCGGCTTGCCAACGTGGCCTGACACGTTTGGCCCCCGGCTGCGCTGACCTCGGGGAAGGCAGCTGTGCTGTTCTTCCCCATCAACAATGCAACTTGTTTTGCTGGGACCGAAGAATCGGTCAGTGATGAGCAGGGGGCTGAGAAAACCTTTTGTTTGTCACAGTTTTTGTTTTTATGTTTGGAGAAAGGGAAAGTTTTGTTTCACTTGAGCTAAAGTGTGCCAAACTTTGGGATGGGCTTATCAAAATATTTAGATGTTAGTGTTTTTCTGTACCAGTTACAGACTGAGGGCGAGCCTGCTTTTGAACCTGCCTTTTAGAATTTATTTAAACTTGTTCCAAGTATGCTGGAAGTTTTTCTGTTTTAAATATGAATTTGTCTTGTCAAAATACCTGTTAACTTCTGTTTAAAAAAACTGCCTCGGTCACTGTTGTTTCAAATGCACTCCTGGTTGTTTGATCGGCCAGTTTCCTTTTCCTGGAGCTTTGTGTACTTGGGATAATTAGTTTTTGATTTAGAGGTAACTTTTCCATTGCTCTGTGTCGGAAATCCCTTGATTGTGTCTTACTGAGCGGCTCTTATTTTAGGGTCATTCTAACCATGATGTGTGGGGTAAATCCACCAAGACAAATGTTTCTCTGAAACGGTTGCAAGATTTTTTTTGATGTTATTTTAAGCGGGCGATGTAACTGGAGCTGACAGCCATCGCTGCTGCTCCAGGGCTACGTCTGCAGGTTCAGGTTTTGCTTCTGTGCAAAGTGGGATTCCGCTGGAGAATACGACTGCGGCTGGGGAGAAGGAGGGGATTTGGGGGAATCGCTTGAGGTGAAAAACGGGAGGTCTTGCAGTTAATCATTCCAGACTTTAAATGAGACATAATTTTTATTTCCTATTCCAGTAAAACCTGTTTCAGTTGTACAGCTGTGAGCTAGCTGTTCTTCTATTACCTACGTGTAGCTAATGGGTTTGTATTAAACCTGCAAACCTTTTGCTCTCAAGGTCTGCAAAGTGAGAGATTTCACATTAATTACAAATACTGGTATGGTTTTAGTTTCTCTGTGTGCTAATGACATTCTTTTCTGTAAATCAGTACAGCTAATTGGATCTTCTCACCACTTAGCTTATGTATATTCGTGACCAGGAGGTGATTTTTCTTTTCCTGAACCCAGTTTCAGTTGAATTAAACATGAATCAAATGCTCCGTTCCAGCATTCATGGACACTTTTCCTCTGGAGTTAGAAATAGTGGGTTTTTTCCCCTGCTGAATGCCATATGTTGATAAGCAGTTAGTTTAAAGAAGGCTTTTTAGCAAAGGTACATGTTTTCATGTATTTAAGCGTTTGGTTAGTGATAACTATATTTAGCAATAGACTCTGCTTAAATGAGATTCCCTGCAAGGATTGATTGTTTTCCGCGTGTGTTCAGGCTCTGAGCTTGGTTTGCCATGCCCTGCTGGTAACGTACCTTCATCCCACTCGGGATGCCCCTTCTATTCCCATGCGGTTGTCAGCATCTGGACGGTGGTTTTGCTTTCTTTTGTGGCTGTTCCCGAGTTTTGAGCAGGGCTGGTGGGGTTCGGGTGCCCACCTGGGTATGATCTCACAAGCTCAGGGTGAGCAAATGAAGCAATTGAAAAAGCAAATCCTGTTCCCGTTTCTCCTACCTGTCCCTGAATGCCTACTGCCAACGTTTTTTATGCCAGCGTTGATGTTTTTCAGCCAGTGTTGTCAGCTGATTTAACTTGTTGGAATGCTTTTCTGCCATTTTAGGGGAAAAAAGAAAAGGAACAAGAAAAATAGACTGCTTTGCAAGCTGGATAGCCTCACCAAAGGATCCGAGTGCTGTAGGGGTATAAGGGAAAGGAGGCAAACCTACGGGTGGAGCTGGAGGAGACTCGTTTCCCCTCTATTTCACGTGGTAACGAACATGAGGTTGGCAGAGCTGCCTGTAAAAGGACACCCTCTGTTTATTGACCCTGTGACCAGACTCGGTCCTTCAGCGCGTGGTGAAGTTGTCATGAGGTTTTTGGGTTTTTTTTTGCTTAGTCATGTATGAGGCAGTTACTCTAGATGTTAAGAGTTAACCAAACGCAACAGTTCGTCAAACAGCTCCTTCAAGTGCTGTGTCAGGCTTTAGGGTCAGGGGAAGGTGCAGGGTCAGGCCTGGCCGTGGGGGGAAGATCAAGTCACAGCTCACGCGCTGCCTCTGCTCTCCCCGCAGAGACCTCTCAGAGCATCAGCGGCAGCTTTGGCGTGGAAACACCAGCAACTTGACTCAGCAGTTCCAATAAATTGTGCCAAGTCATCTGAAAGCGCCTGGGGGGAAGCAGCTTGTTTTGCTGACTGAAAAACCCAAGTTCCCCATTTTTTTTTTTTTTTAAATGTGGGTTGAACTTGCTCGAGCACGAGCTTAAAGTCGAGGAAGTGGTGATTTAGCAAGCTGAGTGATAGGCTTTTCCACCAAATCCCGTGGCAGGCTGCTTGAAAAGCATTGCCAATGCAATTACGGTCTTTTGCATCTGCAGAACTCCAAAATATCTTCTGCCAGCTTTGTGATCTCTAGCACACGTGCGTAGTGGTGGCCTGTGTGGAATCAGTTATGGAAAGGCAGTATATGTACTTGATGAGAGTCTCGGAATTAAGATCCTGACTGCCTGGAGCCTGAAAACCTGCTTAGATACTGCTTAGGTACCGTGAGTCCGACCAGATGAAGGAATGGACTCATTCTGCCTTCCCTGTTTGCTGTGATAAAAAGTCTGAGCTCCATCTGCTGTGGATATCAGCACTTTACCCCTGGCTTTTTAGTTCACCCTGAGTGCTTTTGCTTTCGCTTTTATGGGGTTTTTCTTTTGAAGGTTGTCCTTTTTCCACCCACCTCTTTTGGGGGCCACCGTGGAGGGTATTTTAACTTTCTCTGCCCTATCCCAAGACACTGAGGAGGCAAAAAGCATTGCCAGGGTTCTTTCATCTATCCTGGAACTGACTTCGTGTGTATTCAGCTTCATTGGCCGTGCACCTGCAGTGCATCCGTTGTCCGTGTGTCCAGCGAGGTCAGAAAAGCTGCTAGAAACGAGCTGGAAGCTGCTTGGGAGCTGAAAAGCAAGTGCAGAGGGTTTGCGGGGCGACTCTCGGCTGCGCTCGTCTGTCGGTTTTGACGCAGTTGTTTTCCTCTGTGCTGTAATACATTCTTCTAAGCCTTGGGAAGCTTTGTGTATAATGACTGTATCCAGTAACAAATGAGCTCTGGCAAGGCTTGTGGCTGTCCTTAGCATTAAAATGTTTATCTTTTAGTGGGCAAGGCTGGTTTTCGCTTCCTTTGATGTTGAGAAGTAGCCGCAGAGGGAGGTCTGTGTTATTGCAGGATACCATATAAAGCAGCCTGGTATTTTAGCAGTGGTGTCATTTTTTTTTTTTAATTATTTCTTTTTCCCCTGCTGCCCTGAAAATAAAATCTGGAGAGGAGGTGGCAGTGAAGGAGAAATACAAGCCAGTTAGTTGCACCACTGGAGGTTCAAATTTCAGAAGTGCCGCAGAGGTCTTTGCCAAAATGAGTCAAATGTTTTAAGTCTGTAAAGCGGCGCTAACTATAGGTTGAGTTAGCGGCTTAAGGGGATTTAGTCATACTCTTCAGCGCCGCGACTTAACCATTGGAACGGCTTGCTATAATAGGAGTTGGTGATGCTGCTTGTAGCTGGGATTGTATAATGGGGAGTGACAGGCAGCCTTGTTTTGGCGGGTTATGAAAGCTTTGACAGGCTTTAAGCACGTGAACGGGCAGGTCTTAGATTGAGTGTCTCCTCTAATTTCTTTTCTGAAGTGCGGTGAAAAGGTAGCAGGTTTTAGAACAAGATTAGGGAAGAATGCGTTGTTTTTCCCTATATCAGAAGCTTTTTACAGCTGTTATTTGGATGCTTTCATCCCTTTTTCCCTCCTGTTTCCTCCCTTTTGAGAAGGGAGTTGAAACTTGCTTATGGACTAGTCACCTAAGCTTAGGGAAATGCCTTTCGCTGTTCCTATTAAAGCCATAGTGAATTTGGCTGTTCTTAAAAAAAATATATATATATGTATAAACTGTAGGTGCTCAGATATTTGCCTGGTTACGTAATCCAGACGTTTTGGGCCAGACCCAAAAGTAGAGAGTTAGATTTCGGCCACCTTAAACACGGTGAGCGTGCTTTGCTGTAAGTGGGAATTGTATGTACAAATCGTCTGGGAGCTGAACTTCTACACCCCTTTACTTGAAACATTTGAAGTGTTTGGAGGGGATTTGTATAAATGGGCTCTTTATGAAGCTAACTAGAGATACGTTGGAGCTAAAAGACGTGATGTGAAATGCCGAGTACTGAACAGGTCCTGCATATCTTGGTTTAGGCGTCTAAAATCAGTGGTTACGTAGCAGTGCTGTGCATCGTTGTCTCCGTATGTAGAAGGGGCTGCCTGGCCTTGTGAAAAGGTGCACTAATCCTTGCCAAGCGCTTGGCTTGCTACGTGTCACGCCCTGAAAGCTGTATGGAGAATTAAATAAAACTGCACTGGGTATGCGTTAAATGGGTCTATCCAAAACAGGAAAACGAACAAGTTATTCGGGGGAATCCATTCAATGAATGGAGTCCTTTCTGTGCCAGCCTGCGATCGGGGTCTCTGTCTTAAAGCCTGTGCAAAAGCAGGGGGTCTGGGGTGGTCGGGGAGAGCGATGCTTGCACAGGCAGCCAGTTATTCTGATATTCCCCTCTCTTTGCGGGAGACGTGGCCGTGAAGCGTTAGTGTGCCTTGGCGTTTCGGGGCGGGGTTTGATGAGATGTATATTTATTAGACACCTTTCTGTGTTGCAGTGTGATGCACGGTACTGATTCCCCTTGCTGTCTAATTGAGCAGGTGTTCTGGCGCTCTGGGCCCTAATCACGCATGTGATGTATGTGCAGGATTACTGGAGGACCTGGTTAAAAGGGCTGAGGTTCTTCCTCTTCATCGGGATCCTCTTCTCAGCTCTCTCAGTGGTGGGATTCTGCACATTCCTTGTTCTGGCCATCACCAAGCACCAGTGTAAGTACTTTGTTGCAGTAGGCAACTGGGAGAAATGACTAGCGATGCTGGGATTACTGGGATTGGATTTGAAGGAATGGAAGAGCCTGCAGAGCTGGGGTGTGAATCTGGGGGTGGTCCTGCCATCTCTTCTGAGAGGTGCTGAGAGACTTCTGGGGAGGGGCTGCAAGAATGCCATTGCATGTCACTGTTCTGCTGCGATATCTTGATGAGACAAGAGTAATTCTGCTGCCCGATGAGTGCCACGCCTTTAGGGCATCTTCTGATATTTGATAGCTGCCTCGATAGCCTGGGCTATAGGGCTGCTGGCAGGCAGTCCACGTTTTCCAGCATCGTTTCCTCTAGGAACTGGAATTTACTTATTTCTATGACAAATAAAGGGAGCACTCTTAAACGTTGTCTCTTCAGCACTCATACAGCAGGTGGGTGAGGATATTGAAAACCAAACACGAGTCAGCGGGGTGAAAATGCCTTCTACGCTTAGTCAGCATATAAAGCTGCGTTACTATAAAATATTTAACATCGTCTGAGGAGGATTCATGTAATTACTCCCAGTATTTGCTTGGCAGTAGACCAAAGAGAGAAAGTTTGGGGTTTGTTTTTTTTAGAAGTTGTCCATGTTTGTTGCTTGCTGCATTTGGGCTGATGGCCACTAAGAGTCCTGTTGTTGTTGTACTCATGGTAGGGGGCAAGCTGTGTTGGGGTCATAACCCACCAAAAGCCCTTGGCTTAGCTTAAATACACTCCCCGTGGAGATTCGAGTGCTTCAGCCTAGTGGAAGGGTGTGAAAACACTCATACGCAATCGTTAGAAATACAAACGTAAAAAGAAAACCAAATATTTTTCATCACCACCTTTCTTGGAGACACGAGGAAAAGCTGTTTTACAATCTGAGTCAAGAGAGCTGGGAATTGGCACTGATTAAGCCTTGCTCGCAGAACAAGATCTTTAGATGCAGGCTGAAAAGCTCCCAGGAGCGGGTGGGCTGAGTTGGGTTCTTCCTGGCCAGACTGCATGAGGGATAAATGGGATTTTTAAATGTATCTGTATTCTTTTCTCTCCTAGCCCTGACTGATCCCAGAAGCTACTACCTGTCGTGCGTCTGGAGCTTCATCTCCTTGAAATGGGCCTTCCTGCTCAGTTTGTACGCTTACCGGTACAGGAATGAGTTTGCAGACATCAGTATCCTCAGTGACTTCTAATGCTTGGACTTCAGTCCTGTCTGAAGGTGCTGGATGTTCGACTTGCCCCCCAAAGGCGTGGTACATGCAAGAGATGTACGAGAGGTGGAGAAGGAACCCACCCAGTGCTGCTTGGTTTGTCTGTCTGCAGTAGGGGTTTTTCCTAATTGCTTTTACTCAACCATTTAAAGTTTGGCTAATGATGTCAATCTAGTCTTTCTGTAACTTCCCTGGGCGTCCCTGTGTCTGGTGGCGAGGCGAAAGAACTCCGTGTCCTTACACACAGCAGGCCTAGATCCACTCTTTGCGTTGCCCCAAAGTCCAGGGGAGCTCTCAGGCGGGGAGGAGGTCCTGGGCCCTCCAGAGCTGTGGGTTCATACCGCATGGATGCAGCACCCCGACATCTTGTCCTCGTGAGTGCATCACCAGCTTGCTTCAGGTGGGTGCCCCAGATGTGTGTGGCAAAGAGCCCTGCTGTGTGAAAGCCAGCTCCTTTTGCACTGCTCTGCGCCTCAAAGAGAGAGGGAGAGGTGAGCCTTTCTTTGTGGCAGAAGTCCCTACGTACCTCCCAGCCGGTACCCCACACCTTCCAGTATTTTCTTTGTACACATTGTGCACAAAGTCAGCTCTCTCCTGTGGTCTGGCTGAGCCCCAAGGGACAGGCCAGCAGCAGAGAAGTCATCTCAAGGCTGTGTCAGAGGTGGGGAATGCTGATTCTGGCTGCTCTCCAGGATCATTTTAAAAAGGAACTTAATACCATATCTAACGCTCAAATTTGTAGCATGTAGAATCAGGTGTTTGGGTGAAAGATGCACTGGGCAAAGGCTTACCTACCTGGACCTCTGCAGAAACATGAAGATGGTTTTTCTAAAATTAAAAAAAAAAAAAAAAAAAAATCTTTTTGTAGGCAGTACTATCTTTCCTGTTCTTTGCTCAGCTTCCCTGTAACAGTCAGCAGGATGAGGGAGGGGAGGAGACGTGGGACTCAAAAATAAGAAAGGTATCCAGAGTCAGCTTCCAGCACGCCTCCGTAACGAGCGCCACCGGCATAGCGCAGCCGTAGGTAAATTGCTGGGCTCTCGCGCCGTGAGTTACGAGGTGACGGGTCTCCTTCCGCTCGTGGGCTGGTGTGCTGGAAACAGCTGGGCTTGACTGGCGCGTCTTTTGCCCGATGGCAGCAAAGCCTTCGCTCGGCACATCCACCACGCACGGCGTCGCTCTGACAAACCTAAAGCCTGAGTGGATTTAGTGACCTCTTTAATCCCTGTGTTTTGCTCCCTGCCAGCAGCTACCCTGAGAAGCTTGAAACCTTTTAGTTTAAATCTTCCCTTGTTAACCGTGCGTACTTCAGACCAGCTAAAGCTTTTGGGCTGCTGCTCTGGCAGAATCCAGGCGGTGTTTTGCCATGTTGGGCAGATGGTGGTGGCTGCTACAGACTGGAAACGGCAACTGCCATGAATAATTCCACAGGTGGGTGAGAAGGGAGGCAGGAGGAGGCCCCTTCCCTTGCAGACCGGTGGAAGGCGAACAAGGCAGGTGTGTGAAGGAGTCTCCCAGAGTTGTCCTGCCGCTTCTCGAGGTGCTGCCGGAGCCTTCCCTGAAGTGCCTTTTTGGCAATCCGTGGCAGAGGGTGGGTGGCGGGACCTGCTCGGGGTTTTGTGACCAGGCGAGGTGGGAGCGGAAGGTCCTACGTGCTCCGCTGTCAGCCCAGCTTTCCCTCCTGCCACACAAAGCCCCCAGCCTGGTTTTGTGCAGCGCCTGCTGGGGCGTATCGTGGCCTCTCCTTTCCCTTACCTTATCCTAGCGCTGTGCTCCGACTCGGCTGTGCTTGAGTCCCTCCCCACGCTCAAAGGCTCCATCCACGCTTTCGCTGGTCTGTGGTTTGCTTTGGAAGGCGAGTGGTTCAAGCACACGGTAGTTCGTTTGAGCCGTTGAGGGCATTGTGGAAGTGTTTGGCAATGCCTGTTGATAGCATTCTCCTGTTTCTCGGGTAGGAAGATCCTCAGGTGACGTAACTAGATCGAGGAACATCCTTGGGTCACCTTGTAAACCGAGGTCATGGTCAGCGTTTGCCAGGGGACCCGCTGGAGTCACTAAACACAGACAAAAGCTGCGAATGTGAAATGTGCTTACTTCCGAGATTAATACTCAGGCTTTTAAATACTAAAATCTCCCTTACTGCTGACGTCAGGCTGCCAGCATGCCTGGCAGGGGTGGAATAGCTCATCTCGCTTCTCTGCCCAAAGCCGTGGCACCCACCGTGGAGCTTGCAGGTGGTTTTAGCGTCGGTCGTTTCGATAAGCCTTCTCTCTCTTCGTTTCCCCCACACAACGCTGCCCATGCGTTTGCTGTGCGGGCGCGAGCCCCAGCTCTGATAACCGGCTTGCGGTGCGCTTGGGACGCAGAAATCCCGACGCTGGTCAGGCCGACGGAGCTCTGCTCCTGCCCTCCAGCAAAGCATCGGCCCTGTCTGTCACTGCGTTACAGAGCCCTCCTGTCTGCAGGCCCCGGGCGTCTCGTGGCGGCACATCGGGGGCTCCTTCCTTGGGCACGCGTCCAACAGTCAGCTTACCCCGGAGTTTTTTAAAGTTTATTTTTGGGACTGTAAAATTTGCCTACAAACAGCTCACCGAATCGAACCCCCGTTTTCTCCCTGACATGTTTTAGCTCTGGAATTTATACTTGCATCTCAGCTTTTTAAAAGATTGTGTATGTAAATATATAATATATTTTTACATTGTTTATGCTTCGTTTGCACGCTTGGTGTAAGATTCGGTCCTGCGGTGGGATGATGTCATTCACAGTGGGGTTCATTTGTGTGTATCCCAGCGTCTCCTTGCACTAAACCACACTATAACTTGTACGTGACACCACGATAAGAGCAGAAATACAGTCGTCTTTCTCACCAAACCAGTGTCCGGAGTGATTTTCCCTATCGAGTTGGTAAATTCCGTCGCCCGCCCTTGGTGACAAGCTGCAGGAGCGTCGCTCTCTGTGGGGAGGACGGGTGAATTGCACAGAACGTTTTGGGTTTTGGGGTGATGTGGAGCCCCAGCGTTTAACTCTGTCGTGCTCTGTCCCTGGCACCTTTCTCAGCACCCTCAGCGTCCGGATCCACGGGTGGCGATGCCTTTCCCTTAGGAATTTTTGAGGAAGTGATGATGTTTCCAGCCCCTTTCTGTTTGCGCCGCGATGGGTGCGTAGTCCGCACCCGCAGCGAACGGGAGGGAAGGGGTGCTCGGGGCTGGGGAGCGCTCCTGCCTGCCGTGCCCTCGTCCTCCCGCCTCGGGCGTGCCACCGCTGCCGCCTGCAGAAGCCAAATCTCGGCCACCTCTTTAGCAAACCCGGCTACAACTGCAAGCCCTGCCTTACCCCCATCCCTGAGACGTAACGGATGTGCGGTATTGCGTTTGAGCAGCAGATTTTCTCTTTTAAGAGACCCTGTGAAGGGTGGTTTGTGGAGAGGGCTTTTGATTTCTTACAGCGACGAAGCGGAGCCGCAGAGGTAAGGGCATCGCTCGCGTGTGTGTCGCGATGCCAGTCGTGGAATTGGAGGCAGGACGGGGCTTGTGAAGTGCAGCGGGGTCAAACAAAACTGCAAACGAAGTCATCCAGTAACTTAAAGGCGTTGGGAAGTTGCAGACTTTGGTGGTGTAAAACAGCCTGGCGGGAGGGAATATTTCATCTTCCTGTGAAAAACCGTCTGCTGCCTGGCGGGGACACGGCGCTGACTTTTTTTTTTTTTTTTTTTCCCTCTTTGGGACTTGCAGATTTTATTTTTGCTGTTGGGATGAGACAGTCCCCATCTCTTAGCTTTCTCACAGTCCCTCTGACCCGCTCAGCAGCGGGGCCGGAGCTTGCTGTCAGCACGGGCTGGTCAGCCTGGTGGTGATCCCAGCTCGCTCAGGCAGCTCCGGGTTTTATTTTCCCCTCTTGGCCTCTGATTTCTCTCGCCTTGTGCAGCCTGAAGAGGCAGGGCAGGCACTCGCTTATCCGATCTCGTAAGTGGATCGGCCGCGCTTCTTCCAGGCCGCGTCCACCTGAACACGGCAGAGTTTGGATGAAGCCATCGGTTTCCTAAAGGATGGAGAAAAAAGGCGGCTGTAGCCCACGAAGACCCTCCGTGGGCTTTCAGGCGTCGCTGGTGCGGCGAGGGCTCGGTGCCCGCCGAGGAACGGGCCGAGAGAGGTGAGGAGGGTGGTTCATCTGCAAAGGAGTCCTGGCAGTAGGTGCGTGCGTGCGCCTGGGCAGAGGCTGACGAGCCTGCTCCTTCTGCCGAGCAGCAGATGGGATGCTGCGGACGGGGAGGGGTCGGTGCTTCGGTGACATCTCACCGGGCTCAGACTGGTGGGGACGATGCGTTTGCTCTCGCCGTCCCCGAGGGTGGGTAAGCATCGCCCAGCCTCCCGCTGCAGCATCGACACCTCCTGCGCCTCCCGCACGGCCCTCGGTGGAGAAATCCCCCCTTGCCCCTGGGAGCAGCGAAGGAGCTGGGCTGGGAGGGGTCCCTGTGTGGGGACACCCGTCCCTGCATGGGGACACCTGTCCCGCAGCCCCAGCGCTGTCACCACCCGCTCCCGACGGCTGAGCAGCCTCGCCTGGAGGTGCAAGTCCCTGCACCCGCAGGTGAGATTCCCAAGTCCCTTCCAGCTCTGGGTGCGCAGCAGCTTCCCTCTGCGCTCGTGCCTCTGGCGTTAGGCCTGTCTAAAACTCGCCGGGGCTGGATGAGCAATCGGCTCTTCCCGAGCGCCAGCCGCGGTCTCGGCGCAGGCTGCCCGTCTCCCCTGTGTGGTCTCAGCGGGTGAGCGTGCTCCGAGCAGGCTCATCCCGCGCCTGCGCTTACGGCCTTCGCCACGGGCAGACGAGGGGGAAACGGGAATCCTGCACCTTGTAGGATTTTGGGAAAGAGAAGGCAGTTTTTGAAGCTGAGCAGCGAGGGGAAATGCAAGGCAACGTCTTAAATGCAGTGCCGAAGGTTGGCTGGAAGTCTGGTGGGAACCGCAGCTCTGCTTTTCCAACCAAGCACCTGGCTGGGAGGTGGCTGCGTGTCCCCGTCGTGGGCGGATGCTGGTGGAGATCCCTCCTCCACACCTCGCTGCATGGCGCCGGGTGCCTCTTCCCCTCCCAGTTCTGCCTGGTGCCACTGATGCTGGGACCAGGACCCCGTGCCCCAGCCGTGACCGAGTCCCCTGGGTCAGCCAGGTTTGGGGTACGGGGAGGCCCCTGCATCTTGATTCCTGACCATCTGTTTTCCGTAGCCCTGCCAGCGAGCGCGGCGGCTGGTGGGAGGCCGCGGTAA